TTGGTTGGATGCATGTTTCACCATTACATTTTTTCAGACCTACAGGAGTGCAAGTTTCACGATGGCATGGATCATGGTGATACATTGGCACATGAGAATTATTAGAATATGGCAAATATTAGTCAATTCTTGCATTCTATCCATGCTGGCTTTTGCAGGCTACCAGAGGCATGCAGGGTCGCCAATTTATAGAGTCCCACAGTGGAGGTGTCATAATACCCATAAAACCTAGCGGACAAACAGGAAAATGGTTCCAATCGTTTTTCCACCATACATTTTTCCCATAGGGGATTTTAGAAACACTTAAAATAAGGGCTGTGTTTCGTGTAGGCTTACCCTAGAGTGACAATTTGATAACCATGTAAGTCTCTCTCGGACAAGGTGACTTTTATCAATATATTCGGCTCTATTTACTCTCAGATTCGAAAATGCTAATTAGCATCAACGTAGACATCATGCAAGACTACAAATCCCGTCAAGGTCTGGCACATCATCTCTAGCTGACACCTTTGCTAACAGGTATTGTGTCAATTTAAAACTTGCACAAGACAGTTCACAGAATTGTCCATTTAAAGAGATTTAGCCAATTTATTAATTACTACAATTAGCTAACATTAGATAGTTAATCCAGAGATTCTTACCTTTGCCTCAATTCAGCAGTCTTATCCAGATCATCATGGCATTTGTAGTTATGTATGATAGCCACATTAGCAGCTAATTAGCATTTCATTTTTGGGGGGTCCATTTTATTTTTGTTTTATTTAACCTTTATTTATATAGGTTTTTCTCATTGAGATAACATCTCTTTTTCAAGAGAGAATATATTGATAAAAGTCACCTTGTCCTATAGACACGGTTATTAGAACGTCATGCCAGGGTAAGCCTACCGTTTGGAACAATTTCCCTGTTTGACCGCAAGGTTTTATGGGTATTATGACTCATACTGTAGTACTTCAACCACTTCATTTTTATTTGACACTGTAGCTTTTAGTTTTTTGTTGGTGTGAGGTCATGACGTCCAGCTGTTTTTTTATTGACACAAGATAGTTACAAGGAAACACACCCAAGTTGGCAACTGGCGCATCTATTTTCTATACGCAAACTTTCTAAATGTAAAAAAAAAAAAAGCACTGGACAAGTTTTTAGCAAAAGTTGTAAATGAACATCGTTTTTTTGTAGGAGTGTGATTCGTCTACAATTATGTATTTCTTTGAAACACGAAAGCCATTGAGGGCATTGCCTAAATGAAGAGTTTTCATCCCAAAACATTTTTTTTTTTTATGGCTAAATAATTTAACAGTTCCCCAGGTGTACTTGCTACTGTGATTCCTGAAATGCAGAGCCTGTTGGGAGTATTTTTTTAACCCGAAATTATACTTTAGTTACATTGTTTGCTAGCTTAGCTGATTAGCTAGCTAGCTCTCAGTATTGACCACCCAACGTTGCTAAAGCTAGATAGCCAGTTAATATAACTCGTTTTTTTATAAATGTATGTTAGCTAGCTAAGTTAGTCATGTTATGAATACAACTCATCTGCTGTCGACATCAGGATATGATTTGGGAGAGCACCTGTTGGCTCCAAAAGTGGCTAGTAACTTTGGCTGCATACTGACAGTGCATTCAGAGACATCCAGTGGCTATTTACACTACAGCCTTCTTTTTACCAGGTTCCCCTGAAGCAATTGTAATGACAGTCCACCACAAGACACGTTTTTTAGGATACAATTAAATGTAGCGTTAAGCACAGGCAAAATCCTAGAGGAAAACTTGGTTCAGTCTGCTTTCCATCAGACATTGGGAGACAAATTCACCTTTCAGCAGGACAATTACCTAAAACATCAGGCCAAATATAGGCTACACTGGAGTTGCTTACCAAGAGAACATTGAATGTTCCTGAGTGGCCTAGTTACAGTTATGACTTACATTTTACATTTGAAATCCACTTGAAAATCTATGCAAGACTTGAAAATGGCTGTCTAGCAATGACCAACAACCAACTTGACAGAGCATGAATAGTTTTTTAAAGAATGATGGGCAAATATTGTACAATCCAGGTGTGCAAAGCTCTTAGAGACTTACCCAGAAAGACTCAGCTGTAATCTCTGCCAAAAGTGATTCTAACATGTATTGACTCAGGGGGTTGAATACTTATCTAATCAAGATTAGTGTTTATTTTCCATAATTTAAAAAAAAAAAAAATCCATTTTAATTCCACTTTGTAACAACAAAATGTGGAAAAAGTCAAGGGGTGTGAATACTTTCTGAAGGCACTATGTGTGAGGGAGGCTCTCCAATGCTGTTCAAGGCTGCCCCTAGCGACCTAAAAGGGTATCGTTCAGAAGAGTGTTTTGTCAAAGAGTTTCTCTTTGTATTTGGTATCAGTCTTTATCAGACTATTGTGATGAACAACTTTATAACAATTTACAAACTTAATAACAACTTAACTGCTGGAATAACAACTTTATAACAACAGAGTACAAATGGTGTCAGATCAGTCCCCACAGTGAGGTGTATTAACCAATCAACAGAGAGAAACAGGTGTTTAAAGGTACTCACCACAGTCATCCCTCTCAATGGTGGAGTTTGTTGTGCATGGCCCGGGGGTAGAGATTTCACTTAAGGACCAATGGAATGGTCTAAAATGAGAACTCCACCTACCCGGGGCACAAGGCCATGCAAAACGAACTCGACCAATGGGCGCCCCACGTGGGTGGAGATTTCTCTTAATGCCAATGGAATGGTTAAAATGCGCAAACTCTGCCCATCCGGGGTACCGGGCTATGCAAAACAAACTCGCCCATTGTTTCCTTCACAGACTGTAAAGAAAGATTTGATGCTGCCTTCATAACCAAGTGGGAAGGTGGTATTTACCATATATACGACTGGGAAAGATCCAGTTGAACGGCCCTCCAACTTGTAATTACTAGTGGGAAACTCGTCTATCATCCCTGATCCTGTGTCACGATCGTCTAATGAGGAGGACCAATGCGCAGCGTTGAAGGTGAACATGACTTTATTAAATTAAAGCCTAAACACGAAAACAACAAAACAAATGACGATACGTGAAGTCCACAGTGACAATGACTGTACAGGAACAAAAACCCACAAACACAAGGTGAAAACACACAGTTTAAATATGGCTCCCAATCAGAGATAACGAGCCGACAGCTGACACTCGTTACCACCGATTGGGAGTCACACGACCAAACAAGGAAACAACCACATAGACAACCCAACCAAACAGAACACAACGAAACGAACACACCCTGGCTCAACATACAAAGTCCCGGAGCCAGAGCGTGACATCCTGACTTCTCCCACATGCTCAACTCCGACGTCACCTACTAAGGAAATGATCTCGATAACAGCATTTTTGGCAGTTAAATGCAACAAAATATTATTTATAAAAAGCAATCTATTAATATGTTTTTTTAACTATAATTTGTTTACAAGCATGATAGCTGTACTTTTAGTTTATGGTTGACGCAGCTTGTTTGCCATTAGCCAATCGGCGTTTCTCAAAGAGTTCAAAGCACACGAATTCATCAAACTCGCAATTACAACTGGTAATTACTACCTTCCCACTTGGTTATCAACGCAACATTAGCCAAGAAGACAAACATTAGCTAGTCGTCTTCACATGTCATCATACAGAGATCAAAAGTTTTAAAACAGAGACAAACTTTCTGTCCAGCTTCTGTTCTGACGTTTCCAACTGACATTCTTTAACTGGTGAGTCTCAGAAAGAGATTCCTCTTTTTCAAAACATAGTCTTCAAGAACAAAACAAGGGAGAATATCAACCTAGGATACCCACGTCAAGCCAAAACATGAGAAACAACAGAAAAGCGACATGCACATAAAGATTGATTTGATAGTTGGTTTTTTCTCTCGCCCCACATTGTGCAGATATAATATAAATACTTCAGATCCAAACAGTAAGAGAGAGTCATCTGGACCAGCCAGGCGCGTGCAAATCATTTTAAAACCAAGGCTTCCTCTTCTCGTCTCTTCTCCTTCATCTGCCCCCCTCTGAAAGAACCTTGAAAGATGAAAGCAAATTGATCCTGGCATTCTTCCTTTCCTCCAAGTTAATAATAATGTATCTATATTGTCCATTTTAAAACAGTTATGAATAGGGTGATATTTTGCTGCTGGTTTCACCCATCTTGTGTTTTCAGATCAGAGGAGATGAAAGAGGAGACAAGGAGAGGAGACGAGGAGGAAAGGAGAGGAAGACACTTTAGACTGTTGGGATGCAGCCTAAGAGTCACTTCCCAGCCTACATCATCATTACATTATCATAGGAGCCACCGTGACATGTCTACTGAACTCTTAACGAAACTAAAACGTCACATGACTTGTGCATTACCGCCGACTGACACATAAAAAAGCCTGAAGAAAAAAACTGAGCACAATTAAAAATATATATATAATAAGTCAAAATCAATCAAGTCCATTGATCGCAAGTGGTAATGCACTCGGTGTAATACTGATCATGCCCATAATTATTTTACAATAAAGATAAATATACACATGCCTGAGCAAAGACAATTCTCAGCTGAACAGATATTCTTCTTCTAGTACCGACCTGATCCTTAGGAGGCTAAATATTCTTGAAGACGATTACAGACATGTATTGCTTTCTTGTCCATGTTGCATATATCTCCGTCCGACACACACCAAGAGTCATCAAGGGCCAATGCTACACTCTGTAGAGCAAAAAAACACAATAATCCCAGACACCCTCAAACAGAAGTTGTAGAAGTTGCCCCTTACCACTGATACAGAATCAGATATTTCCTCCCCCTCCTGGTTGAGGATAAGGTCAAGATTTGATTTCAGATCTGTGGCTAGGGGCAACCACTAACTTCAGCCCAAAGAAACACCCTGACATTCTCCGTAAGAATCTTCAAAAGTGAGGAACATAAAGAAAAGTAAAATCTGTTTCATTAAAACAAAACGTTCATTAATATAGTATTTTGTAAGACATTATTTCGTGTTTCTGACCACAGCAGAATTGTTGAGATTCAAAATGGAGGCAGTAAACAAAGAGCCGCGGCGGTTTCTAAAAAGGCCGACCAGCCGCTTCCTGTCTGCACATGTGAGCGGTCTTATCCATGCCTGAAGGACCCAGACGGCTCCATGTAGTAGTGAGCAGATCCAAGGTCAGTGGTAATGAGTCTAGCCCAGTCTATCCCTTCCTCTGGGCTGACACCGAGTCAGTCTATGTCCAGTAGTGTATAGTTAAAATCTATAGGTAATACAGTATACTACAGGTCCTAGGCCATTCCTACTAGTTCTACTAGGCAACGCTGCAGATGTCTTAGGCAGCTGTTGGTGTGGTTGCAGGCTACCAGTACCACATACACGTTCCATCACTCTCTCTCTCCCATCACACACATTAACTGGCCAGCCAGTGGAGAGAGAGAGGTGGAGAGAGAGAGAGATAGGAAAACGGGAGGAAATCCTGTCCAGGTTGGAGAAAGGAGAGTATCCACTTTGCAAAACAAGGGATCTTCCTTCCTCTCCCGCTCTCTCATCTCCTATCTTCTCTCCTCTTTGGGGGTCAGCCAGTGTCGGAGCTGATCCATCCCACGATGCAGCTGTGCAAGGCAGAAGTCCACATTCCGAGAGAAGTCGGTGCAGACGGTGGAGTGGGCGTCGCCCAGAGCACAGTAGAGGGCTGTGCCTCCCAGGCTGATCACCACGGTGACCAGGCAGAGCAGGAAGAGGAGCAGGCACGAGTCTCCGCCCACCTCGTCTGGAGGAGGGAAGAGCAACATGTTTAGATGTTTATTATATTCTGAGCTTTATTGAACTGTTTCTTGTCTGGAGAAGGGAGAGGACAGGGGGGAGAGAGTGACATGGTAAGAATATACACACACACATACATACATTCCCGATATGCTGTGCGTGCACACACACACACACACACGATCATAGCCATTGTTGGGCATATATACTGACTCAAACACACACCCTTACCCTGGTCAAAGCCGTCATCAGGTACTTTGAAGCGGACCCTGCGGTTAGCGTGGTGTTTGTGCGGGGCCGAGGAGGGAGCAACACACACATTCTCCACACACACACTCATCCTCCTCCTCTTCAGGATGGACACCAGACTAGGGGCAGGGGTCATCTGGAGGTCAGAGGGACAAGGTCAGCGCCAGGTCAACTGGTTAGCATACACATCATACACATACATCACACACACACTCACGCCATAAACATTCCGTACACAATAGACACATACACCTGACATATATGGATATACACACATACAGTACACCATGCAGTACACACAGACGCACATACACACAAACAAGGGGGCAGTGATGTGTATGCGTATGACAAAGTGCACAGACAAGGTATTCCCACTAGGTGTCAGCATACGCTCCTCCTATGTCAACCTCTTTATTTTGACTACACAACTCAGATACTTTGTCTTAGGTGCTGGTGACCGCTGGAATCACCTTATGAAGTGACATTACATTTACATTTTTGTCATTTAGCAGACGCTCTTATCCAGAGCGACTTACAGTTAGTGAGTGCATACATTTTTCATACTGGCCCCCCGTGGGAATCGAACCCACAACCCTGGCGTTGCAAGCGCCATGCTCTACCAACTGAGCTACAGTGACATCACCTAGTGACATGAACGACCGCTGATCAACTACATGGTCAGAACATTCAGTTGATCTCATTCCCCCCCTCAGTCACCATGTAATTCATCTGAAACATTCTTACGAGAGTTTCAAAACAACATGCATTTAATTTTGCCCGTATTAAGTTTTAAATCAGCAAGGGATTCCTGCATAGCTATAAAATAAACACAGCCAGATCAACAGTTGTGGCAATAGCACACATAATAGTATCATCCACACTGAACAAAAATATAAACGCAAAATTTAAAGTGTTGATCCCATGTTTCATGAGCTGAAATAAAATATCCCAGAAGTTTTCCATACACAAAAAAAGCTTATTTCTCTAAAATGTTGTGCACAAATTTGTTTACATCACTGTTAGTGAGCATATCTCCTTTGCCAAAATAATCCATCCACCTGACAGCTGTGACATATCAAGAAGTTGATTAAACAGCATGATCATAACACAGGTGCACCTTGTGCTGGGGTTTATATAAATAGTGAAGAGAACAGGTCCCAAAAATCAACCCCTGTGGTACACCTTTATGTACTTCCAGAAATTCAGACATAACATCCCAATGTTAATCTCCCAGGACAAACTATCTAGCAAGCTAGCGCAATGCCCATGAATGTTTCATGAGTGTTTCGACATGCCCCCAAATTAATATAGTTGGTTCACAGTTGCTTTTGATATTTTAACCTGCGTGTCCTGATCACATCTGGATAGGCAAAATCAAAGAGCGCGTGGCTGGTATTGTACTAAGTGTACAAAACATTAAGAACACCTTCCTAATATTGAGTTGCACCCGCTTTTGCCCTCAGAACAGCCTCAATTCGTCAGGGCATGGACTCTACAAGGTGTCGAAAGCGTTCCACAGGGATGCTGGCCCATGTTGACGCCAATGCTTCCCACAGTTGACTCAAGTTGGCTGGATGTCCTTTGGGTTGTGGACCTTTCTTGATACACACAGGAAATTGTTGAGCGTGAAAAACCCAGAAACATTGCAGTTCTTGACACACTCAAACCGGTGCGCCTGGCACCTACTACCATACTCTGTTCAAAGGCACTTAAATCTTTTGTCTTGCCCATTCACCCTCTGAATGGCACACATACACAATCCATGTCTCAAGGCTTAGAAATCCTTCTTTAACCTGTCTCCTCCCCTTCATCTACACTGATTGAAGTGGATTTAACAAGTGACATCAATAAGGGATCATAGCTTTCACCTGGTCAGAGTATGTCATAGAAAGGGCAGGTGTTCCTAATGTTTTGTACACTCAGTGTATATTTTGTACACAGTAAAGAAAATCTATTACGGGTCAACATCGAAATATTACTCCCAGCGTTGATCAAAGCTCAGAACGCTTATATTCTTGATCTAATCGCACCTACCTCTATGTTACAGGCTTTGGTTTTTCCATGTATGTTTTTTGAGGTTGGACATTAGCACGAATAGCTCAGCACGTAGGAGGCACCGAATGGCGTCACCTTGTCAGTCAGTATGTGTTACACCTGTGCTGGTTGCCATCTCATTAGTGGGAAGGTGTATTTAAGAGTGGCTGGCCCAGTGCTCCAGTTGTCTTGATAGATGCGGAGGGTTAACATCTTTAGTTGTCTTGATAGATGGAGGGTTAACACCTTTAGTTGTCTTGAGAGCTGGAGGGTTAACACCTTTAGTTGTCTTGATAGATGGAGGGTTAACACCTTTAGTTGTCTTGATAGATGGAGGGTTAACACCTTTAGTTGTCTTGATATATGGAGGGTTAACTCCTTTAGTTGTCTTGATGGTGGTCCTCTGTAGCTCAGCTGGTAGAGCACGGCGCTTGTAACGCCAAGGTAGTGGGTTCGATCCCCGGGACCACCCATACACAAAAATGTATGCACGCATGACTGTAAGTCGCTTTGGATAAAAGCGTCTGCTAAATGGCATATTTGATAGATGGAGGGTTAACACCTTCAGTTGTCTTGATATATGGATCTCTAGTGGCACAGCTAGCACTGCGATGCAGTGCCTTAGACCACTGCGCCACTCGGGAGGCCATTAGTTGTCTTGATAGATAGATGGAGGGTTACTCCTTTAGTTGTCTTGATAGATAGATGGAGGATTAACTCCTTTAGTTGTCTTGATAGATAGATGGAGGGTTAACTCCTTTAGTTGTCTTGATAGATGGAGGGTTAACACCTTTAGTTGTCTTGATAGATAGATGAGGGTTAACACCTTTAGTTGTCTTGATAGATAGATGGAGGGTTAACACCTTTAGTTGTCTTGATAGATAGATGGAGGATTAACTCCTTTAGTTGTCTTGATAGATAGATGGAGGGTTAACACCTTTAGTTGTCTTGATAGATGGATGGAGGGTTAACACCTTTAGTTGTCTTGATAGATAGATGAGGGTTAACACCTTTAGTTGTCTTGATAGATAGATGAGGGTTAACACCTTTAGTTGTCTTGATAGATAGATGGAGGGTTAACACCTTTAGTTGGCGCTCCCTATTTAGATTTTTAGACAAACAATCCTTTATCTGATTTTCTGATTTTGTTTTGCACCACTTTTTTGGTTTGTTTCCTGTCATTAAGTTTGGTGTTTTTTTTGTCATTTTGTTTGCCTCTTCTTGGGCAAATTTAGTGGCTGCTCATGGTGGGTGTCTTTTGGTTTAGCAGCACATTCGCCACTCTCTCAAACCGCTAACTCCTCCCTCTCGTGACACGTGAAACGAACTACTCCAGCTCGCAGTTGGCTACTGCTGACAGTGTTTACGAGCTGCCGGACAACAGGCCATTTTAAAACCGTCCTGTGACTCCTACTGTCTACAGACATCCCCCAAACAAAAACCGATGTTCAGAGAATGAGTGCACAACTGGTAAATAGTCGCTTCTATTGCAGTAACGTTGAAGGGCTCTGGCTAGTATTACTTAGCCAGCTAGAAGGATGAAGTAAGAAACTAACGTTAAACAGAGCCTAACTCAGCAGGCGCAGAAAATACGCACTAAGTTCTCATAACTTTGCTTTACAGAGCATAGGCTACTGAGACAGACAGTGATGTGGTGAGGCAGGCTGCAATGCATGCAGGGGGAAAGAGGAAGCAAGCAGAGACAAGTTAGTACAGTGGTTCCCAAACTTTGGGTCTGGTCCCCTGAGAAAATCTGTACTAATCTTATCAAAAAAGTTAGGAACTTAAAGAAATGTTTCAATATGAAAATCTCCACATGGCCTATCCCCACAAGGCCTACATTAAAATGCAAACAATAGTTCAAAACATTTCAAGTTTTCATTTTGTCGATGCTACGTGTCAGTGTGAATAATTTATCATACCCCCCCCCCCCCCCTTTAAGGGGTATAACATTACAGCTGTATAGCTAATAGGCTGTGTTTGTAGATTGACTGAGGTGAATGAACCTACAGCAGCCAAGATGATAATGGATGGGGTCATTTTTGCTGTTCTCCAAATAGCATTTTAAAGTTTTAATTGTATAGAAATGCAGTAAATGAGCTTCAACCCCCCTAATGAGGACCTAGCACTGTCTGCTTGCTAATTACTGACTGTTACCCTCTCTCTGTCTCCCCCCCACTCACACAGGAAGAGACATTGTCCATAACAATCACCACTGTTCCTTCACTCTGATATACTACCTTACAACAGGATGGGAGAGAGAGGGGAAGAGTTTTTGGGTAGTCAGAAAACTCACACGCATCTGTGCGCAAAAGTTTCTCTCTCTTACAGTAATAGCTAGACTAACAGCCATATGTGGTTTATGGGCCACTCTCCTCTGAGCAGCCATATTTCACTGAAACACTAATTTCCAACAAAATGGCTATATAATGCCATTAGACTCCAGCGACTGTGCCTCCATTCCGGCTCTAGCTGGGTATAGAGGGCATTGTGTGTCTAGTTGGGTAGATAAGTATTTAGTATTGATCTGGCACAGTGTTGGGATGAGGTGGCATTAAGACAGGTTACGTCTGACTGCTCAAACACACATATGCACACATTCATGTTCTAGTTCAAACAGATGTGAACAGAGCAATAAAATCCCTTTGTTCAGATAAACAGCAAAAGTGTGTGTGTGGCACTGGACTCCAGTCCCACAGAGGGTTACCCAGACACACACACAGTTTCTCTCCCACTCACCTCCTCCACTGTGATGCGTTTGGCCAGGTTGTCGAGAGAAGCTGCTCCATCTCTGATCCTCTCCACTTCAAACATGTCCTCTTCCTGATCATACTCCTCACACTGCTCCTCCTTAACCTGGTTCTCCTCCTGCTGCACCTCCTCCAGTGTGAGCTGCTCTTTCACTGCCAAGACTGAGATCTCCTCTAGAGGAGCTTTAAAACACACATCGCTATCCCTCTTCACCTCCTCTTTATCCAATGCCAAGGCCTCCTCCTGTTCTTCCTCTCCTCCCTGCCGCTCCTCAGGCTTGGATCGGCTCATTTCTCCATCCGTAGGAGGGTCCGGCCCAGCACACCCCTCCTGAGTGGTGTGTTCCATCTCTCTCTCAGTCTGCTGTCCTGTTCCTCTGCTCAGAGAGTCTGTGAACGCAGCCCTGCCCTCCCTCTCCTCCCCTTTGGCAAGGGAGCCGTCAATAAGATAATCTCTATGGAAACCATCAATCCCCTTGGAGTCTCCGCAGTCCTGTGCCACGTCCAGAGGTGCAAAGTCATTGAAGCAGAGGCTGTCCATCAGGGCTGCAGCTGATTTGATTGGGTAGATGCTCTGGGAGAGGGTGGAGTCTGTTACTCTATGGTCCTCCTCCATCCCTGATGCACACTCAACTAATCGACCAATGATAGAGACAGATAGAGAGCAACATGGAAAAAGTGTTACAAGTCCCCAACCTCTCCCTTTACAGTCCCCTAAACATCCCAACACTCCCCATACTCATCTACTCTGCAGAAGAGTCCACTGTATAACCTATCTCAGTAACAGAGCGGGAATCACTGGTCCTCACCATCCTCAATACATCTCCTAGATCTCCTAAACGAATTATTCACAACACCTTCCTCCTTTAGCTGCTGTTTTATAGGGTACTTGATGTCATCAGAGCACATCTCATTTCCTGTCTACTCCCTCTCTCTCATATCCCTCTCTCTCATATTCACTATAGAGACCTCTCTCATATCCACTATAGAGACCTATCTCATATCCACAATAGAGACCTCTCTCATATCCACTATAGAGACCTCTCTCATATCCACTATAGAGATCTCTCTCATATCCACTATAGAGACCTCTCTCATATCCACTAGAGACCTCTCTCATATCCACTATAGAGATCTCTCTCATATCCACTATAGAGACCTCTCTCATATCCACTATAGAGACCTCTCTCATATCCACTATAGAGACCTCTCTCATAGCCACTATAGAGACCTCTCTCATATTCACTATAGAGACCTCTCTCATATCCACTATAGAGACCTCTCTCATAGCCACTATAGAGACCTCTCTCATATCCACTATAGAGACCTCTCTCATATCCACTATAGAGACCTCTCTCATATCCACTATAGAGACCTCTCTCATATTCATTATAGAGACCTCTCTCATATCCACTATAGAGACAGACAAACACCCTTCCTCGTCCACTCAAACGGAAACAGAGAGAGGACAAGTTGTCCCTCAGATCCAAATATTTATTCAATGTGAAAATATTTATCAGATCTGTATAAAAAAGGGGAGACAGAGTTATACTCTCTTCACTAATCCAGCCTCCGGAACACTGACATTGAGCTTTCTAACTTAAGTGTGTGTGTGTGTGTGTGTGGTCACGCCTGGGTTGTGAAAGTGAAACCAGGCCATGACAGAACACAATGCCCTGTGTCTCTGTGCACAGGTAACTCACACCTTGGACTACATGTATGTGTACAGGTAGGTAACACACCTTGCACTACATCTCTGTGTAGGTGTGTACAGGTAGGTAAAACAAACCCTTGGCTCCCCAGAGCTTCCCTTCAGTTTATCAGTAACCCAAATCCCACACCAGCGGACCTCCCCTAACACACACACGTACACAGGTGATGGAATGTATTTCAGGTGTTTCTGGGTAACCAGGTGGGAGAGAAAAGAGAGACAAAGAGAGAGAGACAAAGAGACAGATAGAGAGAGAGAGAGAGAGAGAGACAGGGAGAGGGAGAGCGAGAGAGAGAGAGATAGAGAGAGAGAGAGACAGCGAGAGGGAGAGACAGAGAGAGAGAGAGAGAGAGACAGCGAGAGGGAGAGCGAGTAGGGGAAAAAGGAATAGTTGTAAATGTCCTGTTTAATAATTGACAGGTCAGCTGCCTCTCTAGAACCTCTCAGCAAAAACATGCAGAGTAACAGACACTGATCCTGCACTGATAAACTACTGCTTCCTCAACCAAACTTCAACGGTTCAGTGACACCTTCTAGGCTCAGAACCTGCAACTGGCTGATCGGACAGGTCAAACACACACACACACTTACCTGACCTGCATGAAGGAAGTCTATCTTCAACACACAGAGAGACCGAGTCCACAGCCTCACACTACACACACACACACAGAGGGGAAAGCAGAGTGAACGCCCATGCATACATGCACATTGCGGACCAATATACACAACTTACATTCAAACCAGCCCGAGCAAAGCACTGAATACTGTGCCAATGCTAGACAGAGGACCTCTACAATGATATCATGTCAATGCTAGACAGTGGATCTCTACAATGCTATCATGTCAATGCTAGACAGCGGACCTCTACAATGCTATCATGTCAATGCTAGACAGTGGATCTCTACAATGCTATCATGTCAATGCTAGACAGAGGACCTCTTACCTTCTCTGCTCCAGGACTGGGTCTGAGAGAGAGAGAGAGAGAGAGAGAGAGAGAGAGAGAGAGGAGAGAGAGAGAGAGAGAGAGAGAGAGAGAGAGAGAGAGAGAGAGAGAGAGAGAGAGAGAGAGAGAGAGAGAGAGAGAGAGAGAGAGAGAGAGAGAGAGAGAGAGAGACAGACAGACAGACAGTTAGTGCTGTCACTTTCCTCCTCCGTGATTGAAGAAAGGTCTCTGAGTAGCCAAGGCTAAGATAGTTGGCCCTGCTCTCTCCCAGGGAATCTAATATTAGCATCGCACATTTACCTAGCTTTTTCAGTGTGTGCGTGTGTAAACTCTATCAGTGCTGCAGCTCAAATGACTGAAAGTGCAGCAACACCAACGGGCCATATGTTTAAACCATCACCGCTGTAAGTGTACACACACACACACACTAACTACCTGGGAGAGAGCCAGGTGTGTCAATGTACATCACTGTACCTGCTTCTCAAGTTTTCTCATTAAATATGAAATGTGTACGGTGGTCTTTCCTTGTTATACTGCAACCTTTACCTGTACTGAGCTGTAAAGGACCACATCTAAAGACCCACTTTACACACACACACACGCACACACACAAACACACGCACGCACGTACACACACACACGCACGCACACACCACACACACCCACCCGTGGGTGTTTTGCAGAGTGTGGCGAGTCTGTCCAGTTGAATGTGCAGCCAGGACAGTGTACGTTCTCTTCTCCCTGACCGTTGACCCTACACCGCCTCTCTGGAAGAACAAAGGTCAGAGGTTAGAGGAAGGAAGGAAACATGACACAGCATAAACACACCCAGAAAGAAAGGGGAGGGAGAGAAGATGACGATACATAATGAGACTTCTAATGGCTGAAAGGAGAGAGAGAGAGAGCGAGAGAGGGGGGAGCGGCGAGGAGGAAGAGAGGAGAGCGGAGAGGGAGAGAGAGAGAGAGAGGAGACAGAGGGAGAGAGAGACACGAGAGGGTAAGAAGTAGAGCACCTCGAATAATAGAGAGTAGATAATATATAGAGAGGGACTATTTGTGAGGATATAGAGTGAGTTCTCTCTCCTCTCTCCTCTCTAGTTGTTTTCCTCTCCTCTTCTATTTCTCCCTCTTACCTCTCCTTTTTCCCTTGGATCTTTTTTCCTCGTTTCTCTCTTTTTCCCATTTTTTTCTCCTTCTCCCTCGCTCACTTAGCACCTTTACCCCCACTGTCCTCCTGCATTTTTGTCAGGTTGTGTGTAGTAGTCTCTGGTGGTAGAGTCTCTATAGCTGAAAACACCACACGCTCGCTATCGGTCAACCAGGGTTTTGTAAGGATAGAAACACACACACACACACACACACACACACACACACACACACACACACACCTTCAATATGACTAATCTGCCTACATCCTTCAGTCATTGGTTTGTAATACAAATGAGATCATTAATGAATAAAGAGTAGGTGTGTCTTGTGAGGGCGAAGGGGTCCTACAAAATAACAACGAGACAAACAAACCACTGGAGTCAACCACACAAACCAGATAATGCTTTTAAGTCCATGAGGGGGAGTGAATGAGTGCACACTTAGGGAATGAAGGGGAGGGAAAAGAGTGGCGAGCGACAGATAACGAGAGATGGAAAGATAGAGGGAGGGTGGGGTTTTCAGGAGAATGAGAAAGAGAGAGTGTGAGTGAGTGAGTGAGTGAGTGAGAGTAGATAGATAATGTCCCCACAGAATATAAAGAGATTAGCAGCAATAAACACACAGCACTCACCAAGCACTAACAGAGATATCAAGATACGAGGCTAACGACAATGAATCACCTTAAAAAGATAAATACACTGAGTGTACAAAACATTAGGAACACCTTCCTAATATTGAGTTGCACCCCCTTTTGCCCTTAGAAACAGCCTCAATTCGTCGGGGATACAAGGTGTCGAAAGCATTCTACAGGGATGCTGGCCCATGTTGACTCCAATGCTTCCCACAGTTGTGTCATGTTGGCTGGATGTCCTTTGGGTGGTGGACCACACACACGGGAAAATGTTGAGCGTGGAAAAACCCAGCAGCGTTGCAGTTCTTGACACACTCAAACTGGTGCGCCTGGCACCTACTACCATACCCCTTTCAAAGGCACTTACATCTTTTGTCTTGCCCATTCACCCTCTGAATGGCACACATACACAATCCATGTCTCAATTGTCTAAAGGCTTAAAAATCCTTCTTTAACCCTCTCCTCCCCTTCATCTACACTGATTTAAGTGAATTTAACAAGTGACATCAATAAGGGATCATACCTTTCACCTGGTCAGTCTATGTCATGGAAAGAGCAGGTGTTCCTAATGTTTTATACACTCAGTGTACATGATAAAGTGGGGGAATCCTTGTGCTGTGTGTGTGCTTGAATGCGTGCCTTCCCCAGTTGCATTACACTCTATTGGCTCCGTGTGGAGGAAGGGAACGGATTCCAAACTTTCTTCTTTCTCTCCTTCTGAACCAATAGCTTTGTATGGGGGATAGTTATGTTTCTATCTATCGTCTACTGGTCTTTTCTATGTGGTCCATCATATGTCTAACTGGTTCTGTCCTACACAAAGCAGT